ACTCTTTCATACACTATTGATAGGAAATTGAATTGGTATGAATACTGGTTGAAATACCAGAGCCTTAAAAATATTTATATCTTTAAGCCCAGATGTCCACATTTAGAAATCTATCCTAAATATATCCTCTGAAAGACAAGCAAGAATGTATGCACAAATTGTTCTTCCCAGCTTAAAAAACATCAATGATTTTCTGCAGCATCTTGAATAAATCAAACCCTGTTCTTTGGCTCACAAGGCCCAGCTTTGCCTGGCCCCTACCTACTTCCTAATTTTAACCTCATCCTACATTTCATTCCTGCCTCACTAACCTTTGTCCCATATCAGAACAGTACAAAGTTTGTCCCCTCCTTCTGGAACATCCTTCCCCTGTCTCCCTGGGGATAATCCTACTCATTCTTCAGGTGTCTATTCAATTGTCACTTTTTCCAAAAAGTGAGCCCCTAATCTAAGTTGGCACTTTCTATTTTTCTCCATAAGACAAGATTATTGAAATGATATATTTACCTTAGAGTTTATAGACTAACGAGCTGATTTGCTCTCCATAGCATACCCAGACACCCAATGAATATGGTAAATGCAAAAGTGGCACGGACAAAATTGGTGGTCTCATTGCACTTGAGAGGGTACTATCAAGGTACTAGCGTTTGGCTTTTAAATAACATAATACCAGTGGCTCTGTCACTCAAGTATTGTAGTCCTTCTTAATGCATGTTAATCAAAATTACATGTTAATTAAATCATGTTATACTTAGGTTAACAGCTCAGGGCTGTGGGATAAAGGATATTGTAAATGCAGGTCTCCCAAGCCCTGAGAGGAGCCAAATAATGTTCTCTCTGACCATGCAAGCATGAGTGAGAGGGAGTGTGTGTGGGGGGCGGGGGGGAGAGAGAAACAGGCAGGTATATATGCCTGGGGTGATATTTTTGAAGCATATTAACACGCTTCTCTCCTTTGCATTTTCATGCATGAGGTCCCTAGTTAGCCTGAGGCATCTGCGTACCTTGGAGGACATTAGGATTGGCACAGCAAGAATTTATATAGACAGAAAGTCAATATCAAGTGGCTAACACTCAAAATAAGAAATATTAATCTACAGCAAGATGAATGGATTGCAAGCATGGCTTTGTTCAGAGATAACACAATTCTCCAAATCACTTTTTCTCCTTTTTTAACATTTTTAGAAACAGATCTGGCATAGGAGACCTGAACTTCACCACCCAGGGTCGGGGCTGGAATGAAACTTGGGGGAAGAGGAGGCAGGAAGTTGGTAGTGAGGTTTGTAACCACTTAGGGGTTAGACACTTTTTCCAAATATTTGTAACTCAAAAATATTTGGCACTCAAAACTATTTGATGAATTAATGAATGAGATTCATTTACAATGTTTTTTGTAATACCAATAAAATAAAATTGAAATAAGATAAAAATCCAGCATTAGAAACTGTTAACTGGAAAGGAATATAAAATCACAGATGCATATGATTTCAATTTTGTGAAATATTAAAAGGAAATACTGTGGAAGGAAATGTTAACAGTGAACATTTCTCTGGGTTACAGATATCTTCTTTTTTAAAAATCTTTTTTTCATAATTATTAAAAAATTACTAATAATACTAGCCTAAGAGACTGGTTATTCCCACAACACTATGTATCCCTTACTTGAAATAATATATGTTTTCAGAAAACTAATAAAATTAAGTTGTTTAGAATCTTATTTTCCATTGATTTCTTTAGTCAGTGTAGAGGGAGATTTTGTGCCTGCAATCTATCCATAGCTCACATCCAAAAATTTATATAAAAAGCCGAAAAAATATAACTGTTGGGCAATTGAAGCTAATAAAAGTGAATGTGAATATATGTGAGTAGTGGTCACAGCAACCTCTCCAGACATCGGTTTTCTCCTTTG